ATGACAGAAGTCACAGGCTTCTATAAAATGCTTCTGGGTTCATATGGAGGGTGGAAAAACTCTAGGATACTGAAATGAAAGCCTATTTCCTCTTCTAGTCTTGGAATGAAGACATCACAATGAAGGTAAGCTGATGAGTCCTTAACCTTGTTGAAGCCAAGGCTTTTATAGTTAACTATAGTTATCTTGGTTGTCCTTCACCACCAAACATCTAATCCTGGGTTGGCAAGAAGGTGTGAATTAGGAATATGGGTCAGAGTGCTGTTAATTTATATCAGCTAAGTTTCTGCTTCAGAACTGAGCCAAGCTAATGGTCAGTTCACCCTTAGGAAAACAACAAACTAGCTTGATGTGGAGCACGTAAGTAAAAAATGGGGCTTGACTTCTTTAATGCCCTTCACCCAGAGCCCTTTACAGTGATGAACTCTTACAGGAATCTGCATGGCACAGAAGAATTACTCTGTGCTCTGGGAGCTCTTCTGGTATAGTGCAGATGTAAGACCTTTATCTACAGAGAGCCAAACTTCAGCTCATTTGGTTTGAGAGCAACTAGAAGCAAGACTTCAAAGAAACTGCCTTGGCTCCTGTGACTCCTGTTTTAGTGGCCTGAACCTTTGGGGATCAACAGACTTTCAAGACTTAAAGGTGTATGACGGCCAGTAAAACATGCTCTCAAAACCACTACAGATTTATCCTGTTTTGCTTGGCCTCTAATCACAGCCTCTCTGAGCACAGACCTCTCACCAGCAGCTGAAGCTGTGTATGCCTCTGTGGTCCAAAGGAAGATGCTCTGTTTTGAAGAGCAACTTGAAAGGCCGTACTTCACCTGACACAGGAGAACATGCTGCTGCTTCACCCTGGCCTCTGTTTGTAGTCCTGCAGTCAAATGTACATCCTCCCTGGGAAGGAATGTTATCTCAGAGGAGGCGCATCCCAGCCTGTGTGTTTGGAGATCATGACTTCAAGGTCTCTTTTGGGACTGCTGTATGAGGTCCCTGGAGGGCAACCAGCAAGGCAAGTCTTGGTAGAGGGCTTGCCCTTGGAAAACTCAGCCACAGCCTGAAAGTGTGTGCCTCTGACTTATAAAGGTGTTGCTTTTCCCTGCTCAGAAAGTCAGAATTGTCCTTTCCCCCATGTTCTTTGCCATTAAACAGTTCCACAGCAGGTCCCCGAAACCGATTCATTACCTTGCTAAAGTGGGGTTTCTTTTGAAGGAGCAGCTGAGGTGGCAGGCTGCAGTTGGCACTGTGATCTGTCCAATGCTGCTTATGTGGTGAGCCTCAGTTTCATTAAAGCCCCCTGAGAGGGTGGCTGTGCTTGCCGGGGTGGTGGTAGGGATGCGGTCAGCCCCCTCACGGCAGCATGATGCTGAGGCTGATATTCAACCTGCTTTCTGGCTCTTGGAGCTGTGCTTATTGTAGTCACCCCTTAGTAACTGGTTTGGTTTTGTTCCATACAGGTTACTGTATTCTCCATTGCTCCATTTAGTGCTCAGTTGAATTTCATGGGGGCCTGCAAAGCACACAAAGGGAGGGCTGAAGGAAAGAGGCTGCAGAAACAGGCAGTGTTGGCACATCACTGTGCTTAAAGTACAATTGGTCTCGGTGCAGAAGTGGATAACAGGCTATAGGTGCATGGGAAGCCATTTCTCAGGTATGAAATGAGCTCAGAAATGTGCATGGTTCCGCTTTGTGGATAAGAGGGAAAACCAGGAGGACTCAATCTTATCACCTGCATCTCCCTGGCCTGGGAAAGCTGCTCTTCAGCAGTAAATCTGGTTTCCTATGAATGCAGGAGAGTGCTTGGAATAATCTCATTTCAGGCCCTCTTTAATGGATTCCAGGATGAGCTGCCTGCCACGTAGAGCTTTAACTACAAATCTGGGGTTGAACCCAGCTGAATATTTAATCCAATTAAAAGCAAGGTCTCTGCTAAGCAAAAAGAAGGCAAGGGAAATACTGGAACGCTTCCATGCAAGTGAATGAAACAACAAACCCAGGAGGACTGTTTGTTATTCATACATATTCTTAGAGGTAATTATTGTGATTTCATTCCTGAAAACTGCCTGCCCTAAGAAGAAGTGATTGTATTCTAATAACTGCTTGTTTATTACACTTGCAGTCACTGAAGTTGAATATGAATGATCAAAACGCCTGCGAGGTGCAGGGGTTTTCTTTTGCCAGGTGTCTGTGAGAAATAAAACCAAGAGGAGAACATGCAGCTAAGCAGGAGGTGCAAAACATAAAGTGAAGAACTGGCCTTTGATCAATGGTCTTGGTCCTCCTGGCCTGGAGATGGGATTCCCAAACCCCCCCTGTGGCATGGGGAAGGGTCTTGCCAAGGAAGCAAGATAACAGTGTCCTGCTCTCATCAACTCGTGTAAGGCTGGGGGGTGTTTGTCTCTTAAGAAATAAGGGGAAATCTGGGTGGGAATCAGAACTGGGAATGGCAGGAGGGCAAAAGAAAGAGCGGGTGGGCTGCATCATGTGGCAAAGAGGGGAAAGGGGATGGTTGTGAGGACAGGTAGCATCTGTCTGTCTATAAAGGCCATTGTCTACTCTGCAATTTCCAGGTACTGAAAGAGTTTTCAGCAGGGAAGTATGGACAGAGCAAGGGAAGCCTGGAGAACTCCATACATTTGACCATATAAGAGGTTAACGGCTTAGCCCTTAAAATGTACTAGAAAATGCAAGGAGGTTTCTGTGATGGCTTTGACATACTCTGGCAATAAATGTGGTGTGGTTTCCTCTGTTTGCTCTGAGCCTTTCACTTTACTCTGTCACTGTGAGGAACTCAGTGCATGGGAGAGAAAAGGATGTGAATTTCTGATGCTAAATATTTGTGTTTTCCTTTAGCATAGTTTACTACAGGAAGGAAGCTTAAGCCTTTGCACTCTGTGTATCAGCCAGACTCCCCAACAGTGACAGCATCTGTTGATCAAGTTTGATAGGTGAAGACATGTATGGAAGAGAATGAAGGTTATAGAAAACCAGTGCCAGGTAGAGCAGAGGTCCTATAAGATCCTATAAGAAAAGCTGTGATGGGCTCCAGAAGAAAGACCTGGTCCTGGTCCTGGACAACTGGAGTTGACACCTTCCTGAAGCATGAAGCCCATCGGTCACTTGACAAAAGCTAGCAGAAAATCCAGCTAAATTCTTTTTGTGCTAATGTGGGTGAATTCGGAATTATGGAACCAGAATGTCCTGAATGATCCACCTGATTTCAATGGGACATCCTCTGCCAAAAATCGGTCCTTGTTTGAGCAGCGCTTGTCCAATTGCAGTCCTCAATTTCTCCCTGGTTCCTGGGTGCTTGCTGCATGTTTGTACAGTTTTGTCTAAGAGAAATGTGAGTCAAATGATTCTTCTCTAAGCCCAAAAACTTGCTGGGTGACTGAACATAGGTGCAGGCATATCTATATTTTTGATTGCTAGTTATTCATATAAGGTGATGTAGGTGTATGAGCCTTTTTAGCTTAGTTCCCTGCTGTGTAGTCCTGCTTCTGTCAGAGTATCCCTGTAGAAAAGCACACTTTGGCCCAGTGATGTCTGCACGCTGCTGTTTTCAGGCTCATACTCATAACATTTGTAATTCAGACATCATCAGAAAGAAGTGGAAGTTTCCCTCCTACAAAACAAAGAGCAAAATGACTTGTGTTAATTATTCCTTCTCGCTTACTCACTCACCAGCTCATATATTACTCCAAGGCTTTTAGTGCCTTGGGCCAAAAAGGGTCATTACAGCACACAGCCTAACGACTTGACCAGAAAAATGTGAGTGAGGGAGAATGAGTCCTTCTCCACTGAGAAACCCTTAATGGATCCCTTGGGAATTCTACAAAGCAGCAGCTCAGAAAACAAACAGGATTGTTCAATGTTGGATATCACTTTGGTGACATCTATGCTATTACAAAGATTTACAGCTGGACTAATTCAATCCAGCTCTATTCCAGTTCTTCTGTTCCCCCCATTGACTCACATTGTGGAAGGCAGTCACACCCTCAGAGTTGGGGTTTGCATAATCGAAGCACCAGAACATACTAAGTGGAACAACTAATGGGGACGGAGCTTTTCCCCTTCCTTCCAGACTGGGTCATCAATAATGAATTAGCAGCAATCTAAGATCAAAGGGGTTCCATTTTTGCCGCTGAATTTGAGGATTTGGGAGCTGAACAGATGAAATGCAGTTAATGACTCATTCAGGAAGGCAGAGACAGGAGATAAGTGACAGGGGTGGAATTCAGTGTTTGCTTTAATATGTTTTTGAACATGGACATACGTTCTGAAGTGTAAAAATGATGCTGAGATCAAGTTACTCATATAAAATGATGCTATTAGTTCCCCTTGTGGGGCATGGCAGATGGGAATCTGATCTGTAGCATTTTTCTTAATGCTGTTTATGACCTACATATTGAGATGTACTGGAGAAACACGGTAAGGTTACCACGTATGTGTTACAGAAAAGGCTGGTTTGCATCAATACAAGTTCCATTGCTGCGGAGAAAACGTGTTTCTCCAGTTCAACACATGCTTAAAACAAAAGAACTACGAGGGGTTTAGTTTTAAAGTGGCTACAACCTAATGGGAGGGCCATTTGAAAGAGCACTCGAAGGTGGGGCTTAGTGCTCCCCAAAACAGATAACAACAAAACAGCCTTAAGGTAATGGATGGTGCCACAAAGTCTGAGAAGCCTCAGGGACCAAATAGTGGTCTGCTGTGATGCCTGCAAGGAAGGAGCACGAACACTGAAAGCAAACAGGCACAGCAGGTGCCTCTTGTTTAAAATCAGCCTTTTCTCCTTAAAACCCCCTGGTTTGAGCACGTGGGGCCCAGGTCAGACCAGGTGAAAAGGTGTTTGTGATTAGGGGCTGAGCGCTTCTCGCCACAGCTGTCCCTCGTTGTGCGGTAATGGGCTTCGTAGGGATGGGAAGCAGCGTGGATGGGGCTGTGGTTGGTTATGTGCTGGGGAGCAGACGTCGGCGCTTCCCTGCAGCCGGAGAGGAGGAATTTCTTCACCCTGAGGGTTGAGGGTACCGGGATCCTGCAGAGAAGCCTCCCAAGGAGCTGCCCTGCCAAAAGTGAGTGACTGGGGTACAAACATCCTTGCGTTTATGGAGGAAAACGTGGGAGAGGGCGAAAAGGGCTGGATGAGAGGAGGAGCTTGGTGCTGCTGGGCTCCGGCACCGGCCTTGGCGTGGTGGCCCAGGGTCTGTGTTGTTTTAGCCCTGCGACAGGCTGTCTGCTCTCACGCAGCAGAAAATGTCGATTATATGCTTTTAGGTACAAAAGAATGCTCTATTTTGACCTGAAAATCTCGATTTTTAATCGGGTATTAGGTAAATTTCATGGTGCGTGTTACTTGTTTTATTAATGCCTTATTAATTCCCTGGTTCTCATAAGTAGGGTTTCAGATTAATTTTAATTGTTATTTTGTTTGCTAATGCCTCATGGTGAGACTTTTGAAATGAATGTGAACCTGTTAGTAAATTATAATGGAGCAATTATGAAAATAACGTGTTTATCACAACTGTTGGACTAACAAAGAAGTAGTTGCTCATGCCCTCGCTCACCTCTGCTGGTGTATCAATAGAAGCTGTGGTTTGGAATACTGAATGTTATGCTCAGTTTAATATTTGGGGAGAAACTCTGCTCTTCCCTGAGATGTGAATACTTTGGAACAAACCCCCCTTTTCTAATGGAGCTGAACACAGGGCACAGACTTGCTTTTTATTCAGAAATTGTTGTTTGCTTGGGGGTTTTCTTCCTTTTTTCTTGTGGTTTTCAAGCACTTTCGAGGCTCCCTAATGAAAAATGCCTCCACCCTGTAACCTTTGCTTCTCACTGAAGCCAGCTCTGGCCCTCAGGCAGGTGTGTCCTGTTGCTCTGAGTTTTATAAAGCTTTATTGGTCTCTTTAGCTATAATGAGCACCTGGAGATGTGAGCATCTTCTCCTACAGAACAGCAAAGAATCTGTTTAAATCAGGCATTTAAATGATTCCTTTTCTTTCTCTTAGTCATTGTCTGCATTTTTCACGTTGCTCCTATTTCTCCAAAGGTTTCTCTGCTTCCTGGCACTGATTCTCTTCAGGTGTTTGATAAGGTCTGCATCTTTGGGAAAGACAATACAGGGCATGACCTAAATATGGGTGGGTTTTTTTTCACAGAAAATCAAATTAATACAATTATTATAGCAAAAATATTCAGCCCTTGTTTAAAACTCTGAGCTGGATCTGTTCCTGGTGGCTCTTAACCTTCAGACCACAGTGTAAAGTTTCTTTCTCTAAGGCATCTCATGGCAGCAGAGCTATTGCTGTAGAAGTTACTCCCCTGTCTGGAGAGGGGTGCAAACTGGTGCACTGAAAAGGGGGACAGTGATAAACTTGATGCGTTATTGATTTGTTATCTGGTGGTTTAGGCCTGCTACAGAAATGGGCAGCTCTGCCCTCTCGCCTCTGCTGTGCTGCTCAGCCTTTTGGGTCCAGCTAGCTCAGGGAGGCTGTGGGGATGGGGAACTTTTAGCTCAGGGTGTCGCGTTTGAGAAGGGGAAGGTCTCATGAACCTGCTTGTGCTCATTGCTTTCAGTACTTTTGAGTATGGGCTGGGAGCATCTTGCCCCTTAGGAAGAGGAATCTGGCTAAAGCAGGCAGATAAGTTGTATGGTTCCTTTCAGGCTCATCTTGAAGGCTGCTACCTCCTGGCAGTACGTGTAATCCTGAATGCTTTTGTATAGAGACCTCTTCAGTGGCTTTGGGGTTGTGATCCTATGTGCAGAGGGAGCCCTGCGAAGCTAAGTTGGAAGCAGAGGGATGCTGTTCTTCATGGGGCCTGATCCAGGGGCCTCTGGAGGTGAAAAGCATGAGCAGAGCTGTCGCACTCAGTGGGCTGCAGGGTTGGGGGCTGCTTTGGGGAGTTAACCCCCATTCCTTATCTTTGTATGGCTCTGCATGATCTGAGGCTCTTCCCTTGTGCTGCCAAAACATGCAGCAATCTCATTCCCTAGAGCATGCCAGCAATGTGAGTGAGTAGGTCCTATCCCCCCTGTTTCCTGTTTGTTTTATTTGGTCTGTTGTTAACCTTTACTCAGTGCACTTATTTACTTCAGGTTTTAATAGTGTGATAAGGTCACAACAAATTTAGTGGGAGGCATTCTGAGCACTTACAGCAATAAATCACAGTGTACATCACCCTTGTGTGGTTTACCCAGAGCTAGAGAAATCCAATTTGGTCCATGATATGAAGGCCAAATAAAGCCAGGTATCATAGTGAGAAAGCTTTGACGTATAGCTCTGAAAGAACCTGCACACTTCTCCTCTATAAATTAACAGCTGTTTTGCAGAGCTGACAAGTAACTGATTCTTGGAACTGGTCCTACTTGTGGCTTCCCCCCCTCCTCTCTTCCATTCCAGTTCCTTGATCTTTCCTTTTAGCAAATCCAAAGAGAAGAAAAACCAGTCTGTTCTCTAATGTAGGTTTTAAAACACTGGTGGCATGGACACGTCTCTCAGGTGCGATGAACTTGCTGGTAGTGCATGAAACCCAAAAACCTCCAGGGCTTATCTCTGCAGGAACATGTTCTTATCTATTCCTTTATACACTCGTTTGGGGTTTGGTTTTTTTCCTTAGACAAGACAGCCTCTGCAGGTAGGATCAAAACAGCCTGCAGGTCATCCTAAAAGCTGCCAGGTCCTAGTGACCAGAAGCAAATAGTAGTAAGCTGTTTAAAAGCTGTAGAATAAAGCACATGGGAATGTGTTGTGGGCAGCTAAACTGCACTGGCAGGGAAATGGGCTTGATAACCTGGTGTATATACCCTGCTTTCATTCCTGTTGGTTTATGGCCCCTGCAGTACCCCGGCAGCCCTGCTGTTGTCTGACCTCACCCTGACTTTAGTCCAGCAAAATTGGTGGGGTGTTTGAGGGAGGAGGAAGAGCGGCAGGAAGGGATTAGTTGCAGGCGGTAAATGTCGTACTCCTGAACTCTCTAAATAACCCAAAAGGAGATTGATTTTGCTGATATGTAAGGCTCAGCAACCACCTGGGTTTCAAGCGAACATTAAAAATTAAATGCCAGTTTCTATGTTATTAAAGGTGGAATAAAAAGGTGTTGCACCTTGCCACGTTCAGAGCAAGAAAAAGATGTAGAGCTCAGCAATGCAAAGTGCGCAAGCGGGGTGAGGAGGAAGGGCACCATCTGCTTGGGTTTCTCCTTGAGAAGTAGTCAAAGAAGGAGCACTGAGTGAGAGGCAGTGCTGTGGTGTCTGCCCGGTTGCAATAGAGCAGTGCCTGGCTGGGCTGTGTGAGCAGCACACCTGATGGATGCTCAGAGCCTCCATAAAGGCAGGCAAGTCAGGTTTTGCCCAGCCCTGATGCCTCTTGCTCAGTGTCAAACACTCCCTGCAAGAGCAGCTCACTGAGTGATAGATTAAAAAGCAGCAAGAGCTCATCAAGGTCTGAATACATCTGTTTTAGGTTAATAAAACCTTGTCAGTCTGGAAGAATGAATGAATTTGTGTGGGGGCTGTGGGTGAGGCAGAGTTCCCTCTCACCACTGCAAGGGTGTTTTGTGTACGTGTAACCATTGCTGGTTCTACCATTGTAATCCTGAGTCCTTGCCTGATGTCTTTCTGAAGACCGCTTTCCTAGAAATGTCTGATTTGTTTGCTTACGAAGTGTGAGCCTCCTGCCTCCCTCTGCATGGGTGGATTTGAATAGCCGACCTGCCTGCATGAGGCTGGGAGGAGAGCCAAACCTTTTCTTGTCATCAGACGCTAGGACTTTTGGAGCAGTGGGGCTGAGAATGCTGACTGTGTACACAGGACCTGCGTAACCTGATGGAGGTCCCTAGGAGAGAACGTAGAAGTGGTCATTCCCTGCTGTGAAACCTGGGGAACAGGGGACAGAGGTTTAAATAAATTGCCCATGCCCTTGCCTCAACCTGCCATAGGTGCAAAGGTATAGCTGTCACTGGCAAAGAAGAGCTGAGAGCAACATTGGGAAATGGGGCACTTGCCTATAAAGGGGGTCTGTGCCCCTACCCCAAAGCACTGGGCACCAGATGTGCTCATGCCACAGACTGGAAGCTGCAGCTCCGGAGCATTTTGCATGCAGAATAGTGTCTCTCGGTCTTTAATGCCTGACTGTTCTGATCATCCTCTTTTAATTTTTTGCTGACTAACTACATCCATAAGTTCTTTGCTGTACTAAAAATCTGCTTAACACACAGCCATGTTGTAAAGTCAAGCTGCACTTCCAACATGCCTAATCCTAAAAGAAGCATTTGTTAAGAAAAAGAGATCCATTTCCCTAGGAAATGTGCTTTGATTTGCGAAACAGAAAACATATTCCGAGCCATTCATGTGACAGGTCACTATTTCACCCTTTTGGTGCAGTAAAAGTTTATTCTTTTAATAGGTTTATTGCTTTTTGGTTATTTGCTTCCAAAGGACTCACTTGAGTGCTGCGACTCTGATGTGGAGGAGAGAAAATTAATTCTTTTTATGGTAGCCTGTTCCTCTCGGAAGCCCTCATTTTAAGTGTAGCTCAACTGCATTACAAATAACAGTATGTGGTCCTAGGGGGAGTACAGAGCCTCTAATTTAATATTGTACCAGAGGCCTCATAATGTCAGCGATGCCGGATCGAGCTTTTCGCTTTCAAGCCCTTCTCCCTGTCCCAAGGGGAGTGATGAGATACCAGGCTGGCTGTTGCCAATGTGTATGGATGCTGCTGGGGGTGCGTGTTCATTCTTCTGGGTTTGGGTTTTCTGGTCCTGAGCCATCCCAGAGGCAAATAGAATTTGTCTGCAGAGCCCTGGCTTACTTCTGAAACAACTGCTTATTGTTATTTACTGTGGTTCTCTTTCTGCATTGTCAGTTGCCAGGCTTAACACGGGATGCAAGCACCTTGTTCCTGCTGCAGGGCTGGTGGTCATGGGCTGGCCCCTATGGGAGCACACGTGGAACTGGAGGCGATGCTCAGTGAAAGAGGGAAATGGCATCGTTTCAGGATGTCATTTACAATTAAACTTGTAATCGTTGCCTTGCTTTGAAAGACTTTGTGAAAGTGTGGGCATATGGACTTCTT